AACTAATTTAAAATATCCATGTTTTAATGAAAGTCATAAGTATTATCTTAGAACAAATCCATCTAAAAGAAAAATTAAATACATTGAAGTCTCATTAAAATCTCATGGTTATGAATTATTAAAAATAAGTATTAAAGTTATTAAAGACATTAAAATATTGAGAAAATGTTTAATAGGAAATAGTCATTTAGTTAAAGATGTTGATAGAACTGAATATTTAAATATTATATCTGATCTTTCTGATGTTATAGAAATATTCTCTAATATTAATGTTTATATCACAGCAAATGATAACTACATATTATCAAAATCATTAAATTATTGTCTCAAAATATTTTTAAAAGCAGAAGATATGTGGATGAAATATCCTTTGATGGAATTCTTATCTACATATGTTATTATCATGATCGATGAAAGTAATGATATAGTTTTAGAAAACATGAGAATTATTTCAAAATTATTGAATAAATGGAATAAAATGACTACTGATATTATTAAAATTCAAAACAGAAAACCAGATGGGTTTAGTGATAATAAAAATAAAAAGTATATTTCATCAATTTCATATGAAGAGAATGAAATAGTGGAACCATCATCAATTCAAAGAGAATCAGAGAGAATACTTAATTGTCAGAGTTTCTTCGAACAAGAAGATCATTGCTCCCTTTTAGATTTAAGTGATTCTAACTTTTAAACTAATTTATTAGTTTTTATTTTTATTTAGAAGAAGAATGAAAGAAAGATAAAATAATTGAAATACTTTTTTAATAAATATTTAATAATAAAATGAAAGGTTTCATATAAAACAATCAATTATTTTTATTAACCCAAGGTGCTAAAGGGGAACCAAAATAAGCGAAGAAATTATGAATCTAAATAAAATGATCAATTGAAAATAGTGTATTATATTTTTTGCATAATGGAATATTCTGTTTTGTATTATTTTCTCTTATAAATATAAAATATAAAATAAAATAAAATGTAGGTAAAATACAAATTCTATAACAATCAGTTGACATTTTGTAATATCTTGTTGTATTGAGTATGATGTATCTTGATTTGTTGAGTATACTCATTCATAATTGTGTTCATTTTATATTATTCTTTATATCTTTCATTTACCATCAATTCTATTTTAATATAAAAATATCATTATGAAAAGTAATAAAGAAGAACATTATGTTAATTCATATTTATAATGTTAGTTATGAATAACAATGATTACATAAATATGAATATCAATCGTATTGTTATTAATGAGTAAATATGTTACATTTCATTTATCATACTGATGAGATATCATAATGATATGTTAATAGATGTTATTATTTATTTAAATGATATAATTATTGATATGAAAATTAAATTATATCACAGATGATTATCAATGATGAATGATGATAATATACAATGTAAATTATTTATATTATCATATCAAACAAGAAATAAATGATGAAACAAATAAAAAGATAATAAATAAGAAGTATCAATAAAATGATGATATGATAATAACAAATTGAATAATTTAAACATCAACAAACTAATACAGAATGAAGAATGACTATTTAATATGTAATATAAATTAAACATTTATAAATAATAATAATGAATTTAATGTTCATCTTCAACTTTCATTCATGATAATAACTCATTAATTTTATCATTAATCATTATATTT